CAGGAATCTTCTCAAAATGATGACCTTGTCATCATGATTTATGGCTCTCATTTCAAGGTCATTCCTACCAGAACTGGTCCAAGAACAGTTTTTCTGAATGTAACAAAGGCACTGAGGGCAATGTTTTCCTCTTACCTTACCCATACTGTTGTATTCCACTGCTATTTCACGAAAGAAGAAGTAGATATAGTCACCATAATCCACTGCCTGGACAAAGTAGGGTTCTGTAAGCAGACAAGACATTTTGAATAGCTGTGGTGCCTACCATACAAATGAAACACATCAAAGGAGCAGATAGGAACAAAAATACATGTAAAACTGCATATCCCAATAGAAAGACTTTGCTTTGGGGCTCAGTTTTCCTCACTTTTAAGCAGGTCATATCGTAAAAGAACAAAGGAACTTTGGGTGCATGGGACAGCTTTGGGCAAATCTATGGAGAATCTATGAAAGGTCACGATGTGCCTGCTTACCTACTACTGTAAGGACTCCTTTGCAGGGGAATATGAAAAGGTGAAGAGAGTGACCTTCACCAATATGGCATGGTCCAAACTCCCCTGTGGGAGAAGGGAACAGCAAATCTCATACACTGTCATTCCCTGTACTTACCTGCAACAGGAGCAGGGAAGCTACATGGATACATGAAATCAATGTTTACATAGGGGCTAAAGATTTTTTCCCTTCAATATCTTTCTGTTTCTACACTTTTTAAATTTATGCAATGTACTTTGTGCTTTGCTTATTGTCTCAGGATTGGCCTTAAGTGTTAACCATTCATAATGACTTTGTAAAGTTAAACATTAACGTTTGTCAAAATAAGGGTATTTATAACACAAATTGCCTCATTCAAGAACAGCTATACAATACCCAAGAACTGTAACATGAAGGATATGTGTAATGTTCTCATAATTTTGTTTTTATTGATGAATCTTAACGTTGCAGATCAAATTCTGTATAACTTATAGAGCCTTGTTACCAAACACAATGCTAGGAAAGGAGTAGGTTCAGGAACAGCACCAGAACTGCCCCTCTCTCAGCCTGGAAAATCCTATCCTTTTCATATAAGAGGTATAAAATGAAAGATTTGGGTTAGGAAAGATGGATGTAATGTATTCTACTGCGGTGATACTTGTAGTTTTCTTTCAACATCCAGTAACTCAAGGGGAAAAAAGGGAGGTAAATAAATCAGTGTAGGTAAAAGATGTAATTTAGTTTCTTCTTTCTGACAGAAAGCATTGTTGAAACAAAACTACAGAGAGGTCTGTCAGGAATCCAAGACTCTCATCAGAGATGCAGCTCTTTTTCTTTGTTTTGTTTACTTACCTTTCAACCATTTTGAGTCATGTTTGACTGTCCGCAGGGTTGGGCTGTCTCCAAGGCTCCGGTAAATGACTGCATCTATTGCAAGGAAGTCGGTCACTGTGGCAGAATACAGCTTCCCCTCTGGGGGAGGAGGATAGAAACAGAAAAGAGGAGGAGGTTAGAAATAATATAATTACTTTCTCTCATCAATCAAATGAGATGGGACAAATGAAATCATCTGCAGCTCACTGGGAACACCGAAATGAAAATTCTGGGTAGGAAAATAGCTGAATGAAAAGTTTCTCATTTTTAAAATGACAGAGCAATTTCAAGAGGATGCTTTGGAGGAGTAATCCTAGGAAATGTCCTTTCCTTTACTAAATTAGATAAATTGTGACTGAAATATCCAGCCTGGCTCCATGGGGAATGTCTCTACCGTAACACCCAAATGTAATCTAATATGACCAGAACAATGCCTGAGAAAAATGAGGTTTTTAATCTATAAATCCCAGCCAAAAAACAGATATGAGACCAAAAATGTTAATTTTCAGTAAGTTTGTCTAACCATATACTACTGGAGAGCAGCCAACTAATTGATGCTTATTAGTATTTCTTCCTTTCTGGGCTTTAATGTGTGTCAATCTCCCCTCCTTTAAGATCATCGGTAAAAGGCAGATCAACATCAGAATGTCAATGCTAACCAAATTGTTCACCAGATGCTTTTCAATGGAAAAAGCCCCAAAACCAAACACAACCCCCCCAAAAAAAACAACAAAAAAAAAACAAACAAACCCTCAAACTGGAAAGGTACAAGTGCCCCAAAGACCTGTGTTTTACAAACCCATTCTCATTGATGGAGTTGGTATTAAATGCACTGAAGGCTGGGATAGCAGCCGGCCTGAATGACATACTTAAAGAACAAATCAAGCAATTCAGACCGCAGACTCAAGAACGGTTCCTCTGCCTATACAACTCATGCACAGCCACTCAAACAATTCTGAAGATATGGCAACATGCTCAGGTAGTAGCATTTCTAAAGCCATGGAAAGATCCATCTGACCCAAACAGCTTCAGACGTATTTCTCTGCTATGCCACACACTGAAATTGTACAAACAAGTGATACTGAACTGGCTTGCCCCATACACGGATAAAACACTTAATCCCTGAACAGGGCGGCTTTTGCCTTGGAAAAGAAACAGTGAGCCAGCTGCTCAATCAAACTCAACAAACTGAGGATGGTTTTGAAAGACGAGAAATAATTGGAGCTGTGTTCTTCGACCTAACAGCTGCTGACGATACACCAGCAACTCCTCCACAAAACCCTGGAAATGACAAAAGATCTACATCTTACAGAGCTGATACGAACCCTGCATGAAAACAGACTTTTTTTGGTCAAACCAGATGAGAAGTAAAGCAGATGGAGATGACAGATTAATGGCCTCCCCCTAGGAAGCATACTTGCACTGCTGTTATATAACACCTATACGAATGATCAACCAATTGATATGGAAACAAAACGTTTCATCTATGCAGACAACCTATGCATAACAGCCCAAAACACTGGCTTTGACCATGTCAAAAAAACCCTAACCAAGGCACTGTTTGGCCTAACCTCATACTACATTGAAAACCAATTATGTGCCAACCCAGTGATAAAATAAATATGTGCCTTTCAGCTGAAAAACCATGAGGCCAACTGCCAGCTCAACATTACATGGTCTGGGACCCCATTATCCCACTGCCCAAATCCAGTTTACCTTGGAATCACCCTCAGTCAAGCCCTCTCCTACAAAGAACACACCATGATGACAAAAGCAATGGTGAGTGCTTGTAACAACATACTATATAAGCTGACCAACTCAAAATGGGGAGCTAGCCCTTCAACCATCCAAACGATTGCTCTTGCTCTCAGCTTCTCCTCAGTTGAATATGCATGTCCTGTATAGGAGAGATCCATACACGCTAAGTGCCTTGACCCCATTTTGAACAGTGCATACCTGCTGGCTGGCATTGTAAGGAGTGACCTAGAAACCACTACTCAAAGACTAAGCAGAAGAGAATGTTATGTGACGAATGCCCATCTGCAATGATAAGGAGGAGACAGTCCTAGATAAAGGGGGCTTGAAAACAAAAGCAAGAAGCAAAGTACTGGGTTAAAGGGCTCATTAAAATACTAAAAATCACGCCCCTAGGTGGGGAAAAAGTATGCTAATGAAACATACATCTTTGTAAATGAGATACACGGCTAAAACACAGGTATAGAGACATGCTCAGTAAAGAACTCCTTGCGTCACTCCTTTATAACCAATCAGCAAACAAGGATGCTTATGAAGGCTCAAAAACTCCTGTATAAAAGATGCTTAGAAATAGTAATCTGGTGTGCTTGTTACGTGAAATTATTCCGCTCGCACCTTTTATTGCTAGCAATAAACCTTCTTTGTACTTTCACCCCTGGTATCTTTATTGGCCTTTGCATACCGGGCACGATCCCAGACTTGAGCTGGGGCTCAACAGCATCACTTCGCCTGACATCATAACAGCAGTAGCCGGCAGGATAGAATGATTGAGAGAAACTGAAGATATGAGACACCCTCTGTATATCCAATCTGCAGTGCACAAATGCCTGAAGTTGTGCAGGACCTTCCTCACCAGCGCCCAACCTCTCAATGCCACACCCAAGGAGACATGATGATAGATGTGGTATAAGAGGCTGAAGAAAATACCCGATAGCGAAAAAGTGTACATTCCAGCAGCTGAGTCCTTACCACCAGGGGCTGCCGAACAATGGCAAAGGTGGCAACGTCTCAACTACCTACGTACCGTAGTCAGAGGTTCTAAGGAACTAATGAAGAAGTGGGGTTATAGCATTGGTTCAACCATCTGTGACTGGCACAGAGCCTCAGACTATGCAATACCTGCTACAATGCTCACTGCTCAAAGGCACATATACAATGAAAGATCTTGTAAGTATGATAAACAAGTACAAGAGTATGTAACAAAATAGTCAAATGTGGTGTAGAGACATGAGAAGAAGAGCAGTAAAAAAAAAAAAAATCTCACTGTATGGGATACTACAACAAAACCTATTCCTACATGGAGACTGTGGTTTATATCTATTTTTTATACTCAAAAAGCTTTTGGATATCTTCTATATGATTAGACTTTTTTACCTCTCAAAGATCATTGCAGGAGGGCTGTAAAATGGCACAGCAAGGACAAGAGAATGAAGTAAAATACCACAATTTAAAGGGGCTAGCTAGCACTGACAACAGTTTAATATGATAGCTACTTTAAAATCCAGTTGTGGGCCTTTGTGCTGCAGGGATATTACATTTTGTAAGCTACGTCTTGCAGCCATGATATTTCATGGTAACACAAACAATATAACATAATATAAACCCAGTAACTCATATCCCAATGGTGTCAAAGAGAAGTGGGAATGGGCTGCACCCATCTCAGTGGGAAATATGATAGGTATTACATTGAAACTTATCTGTGCTGGGATGATGATTAAGGGAAGTCTTCTTCAGAGGTTTCTTTGAGCCTTAACTCACCCTATTTCCAGCTAACCAGAAAAGGCAGCATTTTATTT